ACACAGCTTAATCAGAAAAACAGTATATACTCAAGCTAGGATTTTGAACATCAGAAAGGCTGCCCACTCCTCAGATGGGTTATATTTCTGGGAAAAAGTTCTCATTTTAACCAAATTGGTTGAAACCTAGTACAGCATCAGACTTCAACTCCTATGTGCAGCAAGACTGGTTTTCCAGAAGAAAAAGGAGAAGAAATGACAACTCCGATGTTACAGAAACCACAAATCTACACTGATGAATGTGTTCTGGGCTGCTGTTTCTCTTATCTGGCATGAGAAAGACAAAAAAAGAAAAAGAAATCACTGCTAGAGAATGGAAAAGAGTTGCTGCACAGTATAAAAACTGAAGAAGTCAGAAATACAAGCTAAAGAGAGGAAGAATATTTAAATTGCAGACACAATTACTTAGCAAAAGCAAATCACTACAGTGCAATTTAAGCTACAGCCCAGATTTGCCATATCTGAAATTCTTACCACATCAAAGGGTCTTTACCTGTATGGTTAATCCATAAAAACAAATATTCTGGGGGCATGAGTAAACTTGTGTAAGATGGACCTCAAACTTACAGCCTTGAAAACACTGAGAAAACATCCATTAACCATATTCTCTCATTGTGTAAAGGGGAGCCTAAAACCAACATCACCTGAGAGTATCACAAGGAGAGGTTTGCAGTCCTGGAAAATCCTCATTCTCTGAGATGCAAAAGGTGATGAACCACTATGGAAAGTGAAATGGGCTCATCCTTCCCACACACCATCGCCCCCACATTTCTTGTGTTGTTTTCAGCTGTATCTGAAAATCCCTCATCCTTCCAAAGCCCTTCAATTCCTAATTTATTAGGGCTGCACAACTGCACCAACAAAAAAGATGGACAACCTCTGGGAACTGCCTTTCCCACTCACTCACTCTCTCCCTCATGTTTCTTTTACTGACAAAGGACTCCAGCGGGAATAGTCACCACCTTATCTGGCCATCCAGATTTCTGCTGGAGTCCACAGAAACACACAAAACACAGGATCACAACCCCATAAAATGCAGCAGACAAGCAAATTGCGTGCTTGACAAATTGTATGCAGACCACAGGCCTGATCTTTAGCAATTTTTTTTTTTTTTAATGGCAATAACATTATACTTTAATATCCTCAGAGCATTCTTAGACATTTAAAAATGAAAGCAATGGTTTGCCCAAGTTAGCCAGAGGCCTCAGCATAACAAAACTCATTCAAGATCTCTCATACAGGAAATAACTTGAAAATAAAGGCTAAAATGCTACTCCTAGATTTTTACAATCCCACTTTCATATCTTTTCTTTGTCATTTTTCTCTAATTCTGTGTTTGCATCATCTGTCACCTATGAACTCTACTGCAAAGCAAGAAACAAAGAATCGCAATAAATATATGTTTAGATTGAATGGGAGGATTAAAGAGGAGAGAATTTGTTCTCTGCCCCTTGCTACTGACATTTTAGTCGTCATTAACTTTTTGTCATTTCAACACCTGTGATAAGAAACTGATATGGTGAATTTTTACCGCTCTCAGCTTTCTATGAAAAGTGAGAGGAATTACCTAACACAGACCTTCTTTCAAATCAAGTTTACAGTACAGTAACACTTCATGGCACATACAATATACTCAGGATACCTCCTTTGAAGATAAATAAACTTGTAAAATATTACCTCAAATAAAAGTTTAACATTTGTCAAGTTTAATTTGCAATATAAAATCAGACCTCTAATTCTTCACAGTTTATCCTTCACCAACATTATTTCACTTCCAAGTTGAAACATGGAAAAAAATTTGACATTTGTAGGCAGCGTGGCAAAAAGGCAGCTTGCCATGCTATCAAAATAATTTATGTTCTAAAATTCCTGTGAGTCCAACATGAAAATAGCATCTCCACCATTCCCACTCTGAGTTTAGACAACTCCAGTCCTACTCAATATGATGCACTCAGAGACAGAAACCATCTTAAATTGACAGTGATGGTCCCCCAAGCTGGCAAACACGAGTTGCTGAAATTCTCCATGTGCTTCATTTCTGTTCTAGGGAGTGATGTTTGAAACAGGAAAAGGGGGTCAGATCTGGGAGTAGAACCGATTAAACTGCAATTTTGTTTTCCTCCTTTTCGGGCTAGCCTCTAGTATCAATCCCAGCCTGCTCTAAATTATGTCCAGCTGTCTGCTGCCCCCAGGGACAATTCTAGCAGCCAGAATTAGTTGGGAGTGCAGTGACATTTTAACCACACACAGTCTTCCTTCAGCGTACCTATCCTTGGGTTTTCGAGGACAATGGGGGGTAGCAACACATCCTGCCAGGAAGAAAAAATGTGAACATTGAAGTCATAAACACATTTGAGCTAAAGAATTTATGAAAACTGTGGGGTTTAAAGAAAGCAAAAACTGAAATGTGACAAAGAGTTCACTAAAACAGTAGGGAATAGAGTGCACAACTTTCAGAAGGAGCCAAAAGTAAGGAAAAAAAGGAAAATTAGGAACCAGCCTGACAGGACTTCTTCAATTGATGTAGGGGTTGGCCTCAGCAGTACCAAGCTGTTCATGGTCAGCACGGAAGGAGGGATGGTTTGACAACAGGGACATGTTCAGACACCCCAGATATGTAAATAAGTTGTCCTTCAGCTCGTTCACATACCTCACACTCCCATCAGCATTTCCAACTGTTTAAGTTCTGCTCTCCCACACCAGGCAAGTTTCCAGTTGTCTCAGCAGGGAATATCTGAACTACCAAATCATGGACTGAGTCTCCTACCTCCATTTAAAGGACTGACAACCATCCTTGGCAGAATGGGGCATTTCAGTAAATGTATAACACTGGCTGAAGCCAAGGGAAGGGAGTCCCTGCTCAGCCAGCATTCAGACACCTTCCAAAATGATGATCCTGCTCTTCTCTGCTCTGCAGAACATTTTTCCAGAGGGAAAAATAAACAATTGCAGTCCTGTAATACAGGCAGTGTTTCCTATGTGGTAACTTAAGACAAGACTTTTAAACATTTTTACTTAATCCAGAACCCAACAACTTAAATTTTGTTCTCTTTGCGTGGCATGGATGACAATGCCACAATTCAAATGACAATTCAATACTCACTAAGTAGTGCTGCCAAGTAGATAAAAGCAATCATTATACTATTTTGCATTCATTAGACTATTAGAAATACCTGCATTTTTTCCTATAAACAAGAAACAGTAAAATTTAAAATATATGAGGGACCACATCACAAATGGGAATCCAATTTACGCCGACAGAAGTGAACAATTCAGAGTCAATCTAACACTGTGAAGCTGTATTTCTAAATAATGAAATGAAGACTTTAAAGGAATTATTTTGGAGCAGGATAACACATATCAAAAGATAGCCTGCTGAACATGAAATTAATGTGCACACAAAAGTACACAAAAAATGTCCTATAATGTAGTGAACTTAGATTTTTTTTTTTTTTTTTATTACACCATGTTGTTGCTTCTGTTCTTTATTTAGAAGTGAGGTGTGTGGATTGTAAGTACATTTTTAGGAGTCCCACTTACCTGTAGGCCCAGAAACTGCAATGAAAGAGAAAAAATCCTGCCTTCTCTCACCTAAAAAAATAAAAGATAGGCAACATATGGTTGCAGCTACAAGTATTGTAAAACTACCAGCTTGGCTGATTCTAGAACAGATAAGAAGTGTTTTGATTCAGAGACAAAATTAATGAGCACTGTATGGCTGTCCAAAAAAGAATTCATGCTTTTTGTAAGATCAACTATAATGTTAAGAATTTAGGGGTTGTATAGGAAAGCCATTCTCCAGGCCAGCAGTGTCAGAGGTCTGCAGCATAGTAAAACATTTTTTCAGATTTCCAGTTCTCCAGGCCTTTCAAGGTCTACATTAAGGGGGCAAAAACTAATTTCAAAACTAAAGACCTCCTGTTGAACTACAGGAAGAGAATAGAGCTGCTCTACTGTGCCACAGGCCCCCCAGAAGCAAAAATGGGGAATTACATAAAGATCCAGTGAAGATGTTCCTAGACACCTTCTCCTCACCCAAACCCACCAAAGTTTCTAAACCCCTGCAATGCCTCATCATCCTTCCTTCTGTCTATGAGCTGTCCCCACGGGTGGGGAAATAACAGCATTTCATAGCCTAAAAAGATATTGTAGAAGTGATGACTGCTGAACTTAGGTGGTGCCTGAGGAAGAGGCATTGCCATGTGGAGGGCTCCTCAAGGCTTTTAACTACCGAATTTTTAACGGCCACAATCCTGCTATTTTAAATTTCCTGTGAAGGTTTAGATTAGGCATTTAAAAAAAAAAAAAAAAAAAAATCAAGGAAAGAGTTGCAAAGCACTGAAAGGGGCTGCCCAAAGCAGTGGTGGAGTCATCACCCAAGGAAATGCTCAAAAATGCGTGGATGTGGGACGCGAGGAAAAGAATATTGGAAGTAAATTTTGTTTGCAACCAGGTGAAGGCTAAGAGATCCTTTTTGTAAGTTTATTTTCTTTTAGATCTGCTTGCATTCAGTGTTTGGCTTGCCTAATGCAATGTCATGGAAGGTGAGGAAATTACACAAGCTTGGACTGAGGAAAACCCCGTTTTTCCAGTCTCATTTCCACATCTGGTTACGGTTGTGATTGAGAACATGGTAGAGATGGGCCCGATAGCCTCAAAGCTCTTTTTTCCCCAACCTTAAGGACTCTACCGTTGCACCACTCACGACACACGACCAAACCACGGCCGTGCCTCGCTCCCTCGGAGACGCACCCGTGAGGGAGCGGCCCCGGGGCCGCCCCGCCCCGCCCCGCCCCGCCCGCCCGCCCTCACGGCTGCCCCTGCCCGCGCGGGGCCGTGCCCGGGGCTGCCCCCGCGGCCCCAACATGGCGGTGGGGCCGCACCTGCCCCGCGCGCGCCCGCGGGGACGGCAGGGGGCGCGCGCGGCGCCGGCGGGACAGGCGCCCGTTCTATTTAGCCCGGGGCCGGCACCGGGCACGCACCGACAGCGGCGGGGGAGCGGCGGCCGTCGGGCACGGACAGCGGCTGCCGGCAGCGGGAGAACGGGCACCGCCGGCCGCCGGCGCCGCGCAGCACCGCGGGGAAGGACAGCGAGCGGCCGCCGGCACCGCGCGGACACCGCGGGAAAAGGAACGAGCGGCCGCCGGCACGCACGGACACCGGGGCGAAGGGAACGAGCGGCCGCCGACACCGCACCGGCAGCGGGGCGAGGAGAGCGAGCGGCCGCCGACAGCGCAGCGGAAGAGGTGGACGGGAGCAGCGACTGGCGCTCGCCCGGTGCCGCAGGTAGGAGCGGGCAGCGCGGGCGGCTCCGTGCCCGCCGCCCCCGGGCAGGGCTCTGCCCCAGCGGGTCCCTGGCAGAGCCCGGCAGGTGCGGGCTGTTCCCTACGCCTCGCTTTGACTGAAAAATCGCTCTTCCGCCCCAAAGCGTGCGCCGGCCGGGCAGTGCCGCTGCCCGCGCCTTGTCCGGCGCTGCTCCCGATGAGCGCTGGGGTGTTTTAAGCTCCATTGACTGGTTATTTCCGCCCCTCTCTCCCAGCTGGATAAAATCCCCGGGCTGGGAAGCACGGCCAAACCTCACCCTCTCCGTGCGGGAGCGAGCGGGCAGCGCCGGGCCGCCTCTCCCAGGTAGGAGCTGGGTGAGCTCCCCGGGCAGGACCCGGTCCCAGCCCAGTCCCAGGGGTGCTGCGGTCTCTTCCAGCAAAGGAGACCGCTAAAAGCATTCCTGCTTGATTTGTTTTTCCTTTCTTTCAAGGTTCACGATGTTGACAGCTATGTTCTTGGCTGCGCTCGTTCTTTTTACAGTACATTCGCAGGAAACTGAGGAAACCATAACGTACACGGTAAGGTTTAAAGGACTTGGAGATAATTACTGCTTTGAGGGGATTCTTTGCTAAATGACCCTTAAGTAAAACCGAATTTCTTGCCAATGTATAGCATGTGCTACAGAGGGCGATGAGTTTGAATGTTAACCATAAAAGAAGCTGTTCCTGCAATCAAAGAGTGTTTAAAAGTTCAAGTTGACAAGATTGAGCAAAATACATTACAACTGCTTTTTTTGAAAAGTTTATCTATGTACTCACATGAGGAACTGGACAATTTTTTTTTAAAGCCATTTTCATAAATGCAGGGTCCCTAGGACCTTCATTTGAAATATATGGACTTTGACAGATAATTAGGTCAAACATTCTTTTGTGTTTTCTTATGGATGTTTCAAGCCACTTTTAACAAAATATAAGTACTTCCAAATTTGGGGCTCTTAATGAAGCATCTGAATCCCGGAGTGATCATGGAACTGTTCTTTTTTAAGCTGATTTTAAGCAGTGGTTTTGCATGGCTTGATAAAATCGTTCAAGAATACTGGAAATAGGTTCTGCTTGCAACCAAGTAGCAGGCTAAGAGATTTAAAGGCCTTTTTGTCAGGCTTCTTCTTTTCAATCTGCTTGTGTTCAGTGCTTCACTTGCATAATGCATGTCATGGAAGGAGTGGCAATTACCCCAGCTTGGGCTGGGGAAAAACCCGAATTTTCACATCTGATTACAGTTGTAATCCCTGCAACTTGCTTCATATGGGTGGACCTCTGGATATGCACACACACATCAGCTCAATGCCACACAAGCAGAAAATTCTGCACACATGCAAAAAGTTAGAGAACCACAGCCAAAACCCGGGATTGTGTTTTATACAAGTAATCCCACTGAAGTCAGTGGGATGGCTCAAGCAAGTAAATATTGCAGATTTGGACCTTCTTGTAGAAGTCAGGGCTTAAAGAAGCCTCAAGTAAGCTTCAGGAAGTCAGTAATAAAATACTTTAACATTGGGCTTTAGAAACATTAGGATTTTGAAGGCTGGGAGTAGTTTTATTTAGAGGCTTCTGTGATTTTACTTTTGTTTTAAAGTCCCTGTATATAAGTGGAACCCTCCTCCCTTCTCACAGTTATTGTATGAGGGGGGTTTAATTGTGCATTGTGGATAATTCTGATTATACCAATTGAACATTTCTAGTAAGCCTATGTGACTTGGGCACCTATGTTCCATTTTCAAGGAGGTCTTACCCTTTAGGTGCTTCACTGATGGTTAAACGCTGATCATGTAAAATGAAACAAAAAAAAAACAGCTTTAGGAGATTTTGTTCTTGGGATGCTACTGTTTCTCATGCACATATTGTATCCATGGAGGGCCAAATCCTTTGCTATTGTAAAAGCCTTTGGCTGCAGTAATAGATGGACTTGGCTCCTTGCAGTTAAACAGACAGTACTTCTGTTGTGCATTAACAGGAATTGGGTGATTCAGTAAATGCATGAATTAGCTGTTTTCTTTTGGGTTTGCCTTTTCATAGCTACAGTAACTTTGAAGTTGTCAACTCAGCATGTAGTCAATCCTTTAGAGAGTGTCCACTTACCCCTTGGGGAGAAAAACCCTTCCAAGCTACAACTTGCTGCCACATTTGACAAATCGCTGGTGTCACCTGCAAGAGAAGAAAATATTTTCAATCCTCCTGCCGAGTCAGAGTCCGTCAGTAACAGGTCCCTCAAAATAACTTGAGGAGAAGACCTGCAAAAAGTGGATCTTGGCATCAGAAAGTCAAGTTTGTCACTTGTAAGTCCCTCAGTAGCAGAGGAGTTGCATTAAGATTTAGCTTGCTTGACTGTGACTAATTACATTAGTCAACTCCATTCTTTTTTTGTATGGGGCCATTAAAGTAATACCCTGAGCAGCCCAAGATGCACCTACATAGCACAGTCTGGTTGATTCAATGATATTTTAATATTTTAAAGGTTTCTTCTGCAGCACCATGATACTTCGCTAATCAGTCTCTGTAACTGTGACCTGCAAATAAAATGACTGCCTTCTGGATAATTTAATGGTTTTGGGCAAAGGAATAATGAAGATACAGAGCAGACTATTTAAAATCTTTCCTGAACTTGCTGGTGTGCATTGATATGAATAGTTGCTGCGTATAGCCTTGTTTGAATTTTGCAAAGTCTTGTATAAATAAGTAGCCCTGCTGTTATAAACTGTAACCATTTATTATGTGTCTCACAATATAAATTGTCCTTCCTAGACGGCAGTTCCTGGAGTCATATGATTAAAAAGCATGTGAATGAATTTCCAGCTGTCATGGGATCCTTCCCAATTGCTATAGTGCTAATGGGAGAGAGGGTGAAGTCCAGGGGCAGAGTCTTCTTAGTCCCTCTGGCAAAGTGAGTCTGGGAATGAAAGAGGTTCACCTGTTGGAAGGCAGGGAATAAGATCTAAATTCAGAAAAACTGGTTGCTTTTCATAAGAAGATTTTCATTCTGGCCAGCTTGGTCACACATAAGATCATCCAAGGATCCAGCCAAGGAGAGATGGTATAACACAGGGCACAGGAACAAGGGAAGGAGAAAGCAATGGTTTTCTCACTTTGCTCCCCAGCCTGCTCACAACAAACAATATACTGGGAACTTCGTGAGACAGAGGCACTGTCTGTGTGTCATAGAGCATTCCAAGTGGGAAGGGACCCACAAGTTTTGCTGTTCCTACACAGCAGTGCTGTACCAATTGCCATTTGTCTAGCCTACCAAGATATTGCATTTCCCTTTGTGTCACACTTGGAGTTCACTGACTACACTGTTTTTCCAAAACAAAGAATCCCAAGTAACCAAATTTTTTTTTTTTTCTCCACAGCAATGCACAGATGGCTATGAATGGGATCCTGTTAGGCAACGGTGCAAAGGTACAGTAAATAATTTTCAAAGACAGACTTGTCACTGGTATTCTTAAAGTATTCTCACTGCACACCCCTGTTTTGGACAGGGAGGTGTGCATGCCTGTCTTGTCGTGTTCTTTGTGTTAATGGCTGTTGCAGAAGGTTTGACTGTTAAAAGCATGACTTGTGTTGTTGCTAACCACAGATATTGATGAATGTGAAATAGTCCCAGATGCATGTAAAGGTGGGATGAAATGTGTTAACCACTATGGAGGATACCTCTGTCTACCCAGAACAGCGCAAATTATTGTAAATGAGCGAGAAGAAGCAGCAGCTGAATCCACAAGTGGTCGAAACAGTGTCATTCGCCGGACCCCAGCCGACCCCCAGCGCGCCCCTCCCAACCCAACCCACCAAATCCAGTGTGCAGCTGGGTATGAGCAAAGTGACCACAACGTGTGCCAAGGTAAGCCAGTGCCTGCCTCACTTCTGCTCCCGGTGCACTTGCAGTGTGGGTGACCACAGACCCAGGGGAATGACAGCCTGTAGCCCTTGCACTGACTGGAAGGGACTGATGCTCCATTAACACCTTTAAGGATACAAAAATAAAATATAGAAATGCCACTGTTGTTGTTCAAAGTATCAGAATGTGCAGTTAGTTGCAACCTTTACAGTCTGTGTTGTTCAAGGCATCAGAATGTGCAGTTTGCTGCAACCTCTACAGTCTGTTCCATCTACTTTTGGGCTAAAAAGTTGAATTAATTCCAGTGTCTGCAGCTCCTAAAAAAAGTCTTAAAAGTACTCTAGTGAAGCATTTTGTGTTGTATTAAGTATGTCTAGGAAAGAAAGTGCTCTGAAAAGAGTGGGCAATGCAGCAAGGCGTAAGCAATTTGAAAAGGTTTGCAGAACTCTGTATTTTTTCAGTAAGCGAATGCTGAATGAACAAAAAATAACCACAGGATGAAGTTTTGCTTAGAGCAGGCTGCAGTGCAGAAGGGTCCTATATTTTTATTGTGGATAAGGAATATTCCTCCAGCAGTAGGAACCCAACTTCTGAACATCGTGTGCTCTTCTGATCTCTGTGGAAGTAGCCCTAGGCAGACCCTGCCAGTTTACTTCCAGTCCTAGCCTGGCTACTCTTTGAAACTATGGCAATGAAGAGCTTTCATCTGAGTGTACATACACCACACACAGTGCCAAAAATTCTCAGGGCATTAGCAATGTTAATTGTATGCATTCAGGAACCAGCCTCACAAGCACTTCTGTAAACCAAGACTGTTTCATTTATTATTTTATATAAACAGTTTACTCTTCTACTTGCTGAAGTAACAAATGTTTTGGCCATTGTTTTGTTTTCTTTCATAGAAATATATTCTACCCCTTGCTCACAAACTTGCTTTTCAAGCACATTGGAGGGACACCCATGCAAAGAGAGGGCAAAACTTGACCCCATGGTTCATCTTTTCCACTTTGTGGACTGCAGCAGTATAATCACATAAAATAGTACTTTAGGGACTGTAATCAGGGCAGGCTGTAATACACAGTGGTAGTTTCCTTCTCCCGGTATTCATGTACACAGGACATTATTTATCACTAGTAAGTAAATTCCCTGTCATTCTGGACCACAGTAATCATCATGGAGGCTAGAGGAGTTATTTTTGTAGGCAAAGCCTCAGAGTTGCATTTCTGGCTTATCTGCTCATGTCCAACATTTCTGTCACTCTGATTCAAGAATGTCAAGTACAGAACCTACCACAGGAGGTCAGATCTCCTGAACCCTGGGCGTTCACTGGGGGTCACCAAGGGAAAATCAAAATTTTCCTTAGATGGAAAATAGGCTTTTTCCTTAGTTTAACTTGGCAAAGCCTCAGCAAAACCAGGAGCAGAACTTCTGGATTTGGCCCGGTACTCCCTCCTTCAGGTGATGCTGCTGGCACTACTCTTCACTGGTGAACTGTAATAAACTGTTCCAACTTCAGCACATAACATTTTTATTTGATAAAGAATGCAAGTCATGCTAGAAGATTTCAAAACATGACTATCCCTTTTGCTATGCTAGCTTTAGGTGTGTACCTTTGGGATACAGTAGGGCAGTTTGACCACATTTAGTACCCATAGTTTGTGCTCCAAACAAAGGTTGAGGGTTAGGTTGAACTGAGAGACTGACAACCGGTTAAGGTTTCTGTTTTGTTGAAGAGAAATTGGTGGTGATAGATTACTATTACGTTACTCCATGCTTTGGCTACCCGGAACTTGCAACTAAATATTTCTATTCAATTCCCAAATCTTTGGTTAATTTATAACAACAACTAAGTGCTATTATGGTACCAGAAGTTTTAACCAGCAGGCACACAAGCTATGGTAAAATCTTGGGCTTAACTGCATCAAGCTACTAATTTCTTCATGCCAACATTTCAATCTAAATGCAGAAAGCATAAAAATATTAGTATTTAAAAGCTGAAATATATTGTATTGAATGCATTCCAGCTGGACAAAGGGTAGTGGACAGTGTGCTTGAAATGAAGAATAAAAGAGTTTTGGAGCACTTAAAGCATGCATCCAGTTTCATGATCTTCATGCTTTTCACTGCTGAAAATATCTTATAAAAGATAATCTTGATCAGCAATGGTCCCACTGCGGATTTATTTAATTATGGTTAAAAGACTTTGCTATGATAGCTGCTTGAGGCTCCTAGGGAGTGTAACTTACAGATATAGTCACACTTAAGCTTGTTTTATTGTTTAGTAAATCAAATATGAAGTCCAGCTCCTTCTAATTGTTTGCAGATGTATGACATTTCCCTTCCAGTCCAGCAGCACTAAGTATTTTATAACCAATGTGAAAGTGTGGAGACCTCTGTTTCAAACAATAACATGCTCCAAGGAGCTGAATTACTGACATCATGCTGCAGTGTGAGGGGCCTTCTGTTTTAACACAAGTATCCACTCCCTTTTTGAGCTTGGAACAGTGTGGGAATGACAAGCCAAAAACACTCCTGTGGTTCCTGTGTTTGGAATAAATGCCCATAAATGACACTGGTCCTGGTAGACTTCACTCCAGTGATGTGCTGACACACATTTTTATTACTACCAGTGAGCAGAAACATGTTCTAGTGTGACGACATTGATGTTAGAAGTGGGGGTAGCAAATATTTCCTGGGACACTCTTAAGACACTCTTTATGAGCAGTGATGCCAGGAACCCCCAAACTGAAGCAAGAATGAGAGAGGTTATTCTGGAGGAAGATCTCTCATGTGCAAAAAGTCGTGCTTCAACATAAACACTTGAACTGCACTTAAAATTCTGAGTTTATGAACTTATCAAATCCCCTTCATCTCCATCCCAGTCAGTTCCCACTTCACTGTCACTCCTAAATTTGTCCCTCAGGGAGATTTCCATATGTGGCACCTGGTCACACTTTCAGGAAGCCACATGGATGTTCAGCCCTGTCCCTATGAGGGTATCACTGTAATGGGGAAGAGCAAAAAAACAGAGTAAGAAATAATTTTAAACAAATTACTGAGTTAACTCAGGTTACCAGACATCTTTTCCCTGATAAGAACCATGAATAGCTGCACTCTGTGCCTGCATACAGGACTGAGTTTTATTTTACTTTGTTGTTAGGCTCTCTGTGATTTGAGTCTGCTCCTATTGAATTCAAAAGAAAATCACCCAATTAATTCAATTTTGTCAAGCCTAGTCTCCAAGAAAGTACTGGCTTCTCTTAGAATGTTAATGGCACTTGAATGAAAAAAGGGACCAAAAAAGCTACCAAATAAACTGTAAACTTGAGAAGGGAAAAGAACTTATTTTCCTTAATTCCTATCATGTTGGCAATACAAGCAATAAAGTAAGCAAACATTTTTGCTTCTCAGCTAGATTAGCTTTTGATACTTCTCCAGCCTGTTTGTAACCCTTTGTGCTGCTGCAATGTCAAGTACAGGAGGCAGACAGATTGCAATACAAGAGATCAGTGCTTGCTTCTGTGGGAGAAAGACATTTTTCCAGAGTTCTGTTGAAACTTGATGGACATTGGTTGCTTTTTTCCTCCTCTGTGGAAGAAAGCAAATGATGAATTTGTTTTCCGTGCTGTGGTTATTTTTCCCCCTTCAAAATCACTTTAGGTATCCTTACACTGGTAGAGGTTAAGGTTTTTTGTTTTGTTTTGTTTTTTTGGTATTTTTCAAAGTAACTTATCATACTCAAGCTATGCTTTTGATTCAAGAAGTTAATTGTGAATAAGTCAAATAAGGCTAAATTTTGCATCTGTAGAATCCTTTTGGTTGTTGTCTTGTTAAGGAGGGACAAGGGGGAGCAGTTCATGATGTTTTCCATAGAAAAATCACTTTATATTATATATATTTACATATGTCAGGGATGCACAGCTGGCATATAAAAGACATAAAAGGAGTGTGAGTGCAGGTGCACTTGGTTGCCCTTGGCAGAGCCTGGCTGTGCTGTGGCAGGAGGTTCCTCCCTGGCATTTTGGCTGGGGCACTGCAGCTCCTAATGAGCTCCACTCATTGCACTTTGATTCCCCTCCCTGAGAGCTCCTAGAACATGCAGCCACATCCAGCCAGCTGAAACTCAACCTGAAATGCACCCCAGGGGTGCCACTGATGTGCCACCACCACTAACGAGCACTCAGCTTTCAGGGCCAGACTTCAGGAGCCTCAGAAGTGCATGGACTGGGATTTTGGAGCCTCTGCATGAAGCTGGGATCTGCTCCTATGGGCTCAACCCATTTTCTAATACAGACACAGCCTCAAATACAGCTATAGCTGTTCCTTAGTCACCAAAATGTTTTTGAGAGCTTTTTGTAAAATATTGTACTATCCCAAGTTTTCCCCCTTCCTGTGGGTAAAGGAGTACTTTCAAAAATCCTTCAGGGCTACTTGTGGCTGCCCCATCCCTGAAAGTGTTCAGGCCCAGGTTGGATGGGGCTGGGATAGTGGAAAGTGTCCCTAATCATGGCAAGGGTGGGACAAGATGATCCTCAAGGTCTCCTTCCAACCCAAACTATTTTATGGTTCTGTGAACACCACTAGGCCTGTTGAGTTTGAGGATAGGGTGAAGACAGAGACTGTGGCAGGAAAAATAAGGCCTGGTTGGGTGGTTTAGGATGGCAGTAGGTCCAAGTGCTCCCTCAGGCCATGTGTTTGTGCAGCACTCCAGGAAGTGGGGAACACTTGTTGCCAGCTGTAGCCACTCTAAGAGACTGACCTGGTTACATGTGCCACTTGAATACTCATTACTGGGACAAGCCATAGGAATTCTGCAGGTCTAAGACAACCTGCAGAAGGACAGAAGCTGACACTTTCACAGCTCTTTGTTCATAGCTTCCAATTAATACCTTGTACATTTGGAAACATCATGCGGAGATCATCTTTCACCAGCCCATCCCGAACCAACTGTTCAAGATGTTAATCTGTGAAACTGCTGCATTCTGCTGCAGAGCAGCATCTCT